AAATCCTAAAAATAGGCTCCTGTGATGCAGTATGTAGAGATGGGAGATAGAAGGGACAAATGAAAGAAAGTAGGGGCTAGGAAAAGGAGGGCAGCTAGGTGGCTCAGTGGATAGAGCTCTGGGCCTGGAGTCAGGAAGACTTGAGTTCAAATCTGGCCTCAGGCACTTACTGTGTGACATTGGGTTTAAGGGACTTAAGGAAAAGTCTGTTAAAGTGACTCTAGGAAGTGGGGCTGGTGCTCCAGGAAGGGGCCCAAGGGTGGAACAGTCCTAAGACCCAGGTCTTTCACAAAGAATAGGTCTAGAGGTCATAGAGATAATCTAGGACTTTGAGTCAAAGAAGCACACAATTGTAGATTGAGGGCTGAGAGAGACCGTAGAGGCCACCAAATCCTGTCATTTTATAGATGAGGTAATTGGGGCCCAGAGACGTTAGAATGTTTGTCCAGGTCGCTCAGGTAGTAAGTAGCAGAGCCAGGATTTTCATCTATGCCCTTTGACCTCAGATGCAGCCCTCTTTCCTCTGGGCATACTGTTTCTCTTAGGAGTCTTCAGCCTTAAGTCTAGTGAGAGACACATCAAGTCATGGTGACAGCTTTCTCAGCATTCTTGGAATATGTTACTGTTGTTGTTCTTCAGTTGTTTCAGTCGTGTCCAACTCTTTGTGTCCCCATTCAGAGTTTTCTTGGCGAAGATACTGGAGTGGTTTGCCATTTCCCTCTCCTGCTCATTTTACAGACGGGAATTAAGTGATTTATCCAGGGTCACACAGCCAGATTTGAACTCAGGAAGATGAGTCTTCCTGACTACAGGCCCAGTGCTCTATCCACCTAGTTGCTATCTTGGAGTAGAGCAGACCATTAGATGGTATTGATCATGACTTTGTAGTGGAAAAGCACTAGATTTGTGGTCATGGGGCCTACATTCCAAGTGAGAGTTCTGCTTCCTGCTATCTGTGACTGTAATCAAACGACTTCTCTGCTCCAGCCCTCCTTGCTGTTCCTCACACATGACTCTGCTATTCCTCATGTCTAGAAGGCTCTCTCTCCTTGCCTCAATTTCTTAGAATCCCCTGTTACCTCCAAAATTCAGCTCAAATGCTATCTTCTACGGAATAGGAGGAAACGAGTAAGTGAATGAAAAACATTATCAAATACTTACTATGTGCCACAACTGAGCTAAAGAGATGCATCCTGCTTGGGTTTCTGTGAGACTAGATAAGACACAGAAAATGAAGAAGTGGAGGAGGAATGACCTGAAGGATCTGGGAGATCAATTCTGGGGCCTTACATTCAGATTTCAGGCTTCCATGTTTTAACAGGTTCCTCTCTGAAGAAGAGGAACAATATCTATGAGATGGTAGTGTTCAGGACATCATCCAATAGACTTATTTCCTGAAACTGAGGGTCCATTCGGGAGTTACAAGGAAATATAGAATCTAACCTTTTCTTCCTTTCACCATGCACCCTGTTTACACCAGAACATGTCTTCTGTGAATTTTCTGATGTGGACTCTGCCTCTGTTTCCTTGGTGAGCTGTCACCATATTTTGCTCAGAACTAGGGCTTCACATCACTTCCCAGTCATTTCCAGACTATGATGCCTCTACTCTAACCATTTTCTAACCTACCTCAATTCTGACTCTGAACCCAGGTCACAGGATTCTAATAACATACACCCCTGTTCCCCACTTTCTCCCCTTCATGTGTTGTCTTCTCTGTTATAATGCAAGCTCCTTGAGGGCAGAGGATGTCTTGCTTGCTTGTGTGTGTATCCCTCTAGCTTGGCATAGTGTCTGGTATGCAGTAAGTGCTCAATGAGAGCTTTATTATTCATTCATTCATAACTGGAGACAATCAAACTCTTTTAGCCTGGGAGGGGGTAGAGGAGATAGGTAGAAGGTTCCATTGGTCAGGATGCAGTCTGGGCTTCAGTCTTGGATAAGTGACCATTTGTCTAAGGTATTATAGAGGGGATCATGCTTTGAGTTAAATTAGATAACCTCTGAGGTCCTTTTGATCCCAGGATTCTGTAGTTCTTACGCAATTAAACAGAAAATAGCTATTCAAAACAGAACTGCTTTCTGCTCTGAACCTCCATGTGTCATATGTCCTGGAAATGAGCAAAGGATTCGCAGCAAACATGTGTGGGCTTGGACTAAAAGCTCCATGGGTGAGAACAGGAAAGGACAATTTGTGCCCATTACTAAAGAAGACTCTCTCTGGCAAAATAGCGGTCTGAAAATAGAGCAGTAAAGAGGAAGAAATTAAACTGGAAAAAGCGATGCCCTCCCACTCAGATGTATGAGTGAGCTGGATAGAGAGAGGGCAGCTTTAGATGCACAGGCTGTTACATGAGACCTGAGAAAAGCAAGGGTGCAGAGGGAGATTATTACCTAACTCAATGAAACCAAATAAAATGAGAGAGGTGGACATATCTGCCAGAGGCAGCTTCAAAACAAGTAGGTTTCATTAGATGGTCTCTGGGTTCCCTTTGAGTTCTAAATTCTACAACCTCTATGGAATGGAAATAAAGGTTGGAATTAATTATAGGGGGCTCCTGGACAAGGAAAGTCCCTCTACCAGTTCAGGTTTCCACCTTCCCTGCAACTTATATTAGAGACTTTCCATAATATGATTCTGGCACAAGGTTATCTAGAGGTGAGATTACAGCCAAGGATGCTTCAGTATTTCCTATTTCTCCATATAAGGGGGAAATAGTGACAAAAGAACCTAAATGCCACAGAGTAGGCACTTTACTTCTCTCATGTTGTACTAATCTATCTATTTTCCTAAGTGTGAGAGAATCTCATTTATTCCATTAACACCCTTTCCACCTCTAAGCTTTATCCCCAGGATACATCTTATATCCACTCTCCCTGCTACAGGCCACCAAGTTTTCTTTTCCTCATCATTCATTCAGACTATGAGAATCTGTTTCTTCAGGAATACTTCCTAGACTACTCCATGAATCTTTTCTGATTCCTCTTTGATGGAAATGATTTAACCTTTTTCTTATCTCTTACAACACTTACTTTGTAGCTTTTCTATGAATTTACCACATCCCAATTTGTTTTATAAGTAGCTTATCCTACCTTGGCCTCCTTCAAGGTCCTAAGTTGGGGGACAGCTTGGTGGCACAGTGGATAGAATGCTGGGCCTGAAGTCAAGAGGACTCTTTTTCGCTAGTTCAAATCTGGCCTCAGACACTTAGTAGCTGTGGCAAGTCACTTAACCCTGTTTGCCCCACTTTCCTCATTTGTAAAATGAGCTGGAGAAGGAAATGTCAAACTACTCCAGTGGTTTTCCAAGAAAACCCCAAATGAGGTTGTGTAGATTTGTCCAGGACTCAACAACAATAAGGCTTCAAGTCCCTTGAAGGTAGGGGCCATGATTGATTCTGGCTAAGGAGTTGGCTGCACTAGGTTCAAAGACTTGTACAGTCACTCAGTACTGATATGTGACCCTGGACAAGTGACTTAATCTCTCTGGGTCTCAGATTCCTCCTTTGTATAAGTAGGGTTTAGATAACTTTAGATAATCTAAAACTAGATCATCTCTAAGTTCCCTTCCAGCTCTAAATCCTGGATCCTATGCATCATCTTTGCATTTTTCTGTGGCTTAGAACAGTGCCTTGCACATTCGAATCAAATCCCTCTTTTCTATAGACTTCCGCTGTGTCTCAAAAGTTTTAGTGCAGTTTTAGATTTTAATAGTTTAAGTGAGCTATTTAAAAAGGTTATTAAAACTACATTATGACTTTGGGGACCTCCTGTATTGTTCTCAAGTTGAATCATCTTCACTGATGATTAGGAATTGGCTCCTAACTCTTTAGTCTTATATTACAACCAGTCATTCATTGTTTGTCTGAGAGAGTATTGACAACTATCAGGGAAGGAGCTAAGGGCCCAAGGCAGTAGATAGACCCACATTTGCCCCTAATGAGAGGGATCTAGGGATCCCAGATTCAGAGCTGAAAGGGACATTAGATATTTATGTAGTCTAACTCTCTCATTTTAGAGATGAGGAAACTGAGGCCCAGAGAAGTTAAGTCACTTACACAGGGAATAAGTGTCAGGGCCAAAACCTGAACTCAGGGTCTTTGATTGATTTTTGACCATAGCCATGACACACACTCTTTAGTATTTTTCAGCTTTCTTCTCAACAACTCTGTAAGGTCAGTAGTGGAAGTATGATTATTCCATTTTACAGATGAAAAAACCAGCTCAGGGATGTGAAGAAGTCACTTGCTCAGGATTGTGAAAAATAAGCGTTAGGGTCAAGACTTCTATTCAAGTCATCTGGTTTTCTCTTTCCTCTATAACACACTAACTCTCTGGGCCTCAAATTCCTTATCTGCAAAAGGCTGAGGTGGTATTAAATGGTCTCTAAGATCTCAATGCACATGTAAGAGTGTAGGAGACTATACTTATAAGTAGCACCTGGCGCTGTCCCTGGTGCTGTTCTTCCCTCCTTGCCCCTGCTTCAGTTTCCTGGCCTCACCAATCAATAAGTTTTTCTTGTTTTTGTTGAGTCCTTTAGGTCTTGTCTGACTCTTCATGAACCTATTTGGAGTTTTCTTGGCAAACATACTGGAGTGGTTTGCCATTTCTTTATCCAGCTCATTTTACAGATGAGGAAATTGAGGCAAACAAGGTTAAGCGACTTGCTCAGGGTTACACAGCTAGTTAAGTGTCTGAGGCCAGATAAGTCTTCCTGACTCCAGGCCCAACTCCCTAACCATTGTGCCACCTGACTGCCCAATCAAGTTATCGATCTCTACATCAATAAATTTGAAAAAAACAAACAAATCTATGAGGAATCCTTTTCTAAAGCAAATAGCAAGTTACAAACAAATCTGCTCAGTGGGATCTGTTGTAATCTGCTCTTAAATAGAATTTTGGGATGTGAATAAAGCACATTTCCACCCCATTTCAGCCCCTCCCCATCTGTCCAGTTCAGCAGGAATTCAGGAGCAGAGAGATGCCAGGGCCAGGCTGACCTGTTTGACCTCAGCCTGGAGGTGCCGGAGCTGCAGGCACTGCTCCAAACGTTTGTGGGTCTGGTCTGCGTTAAGCTCCAATTCATGCTGCTTCTCGTGGAGAAACTCCAGGAGCTCTTGTACTTGGGCTGCGAGATCAATGTCCTTCTCACAGATTAACTCGATGCCTGATTAAAAACAAACAAACAAACAATTAAAAATCCAGGCCTACCTTAGAGACCATATATAGGTTGTACTGTCAATCTAGGCTTTGCATACTTACCTGTAACATGAAGGGTTTGGGACAGGAGACCTCAAAGGTCCCTTCCTGCTTGACCTCTATGACCCTTTGAGCAATCCCTCAGTTCTAAGAGGGTCTGACTCCTGCCACTTCAAAGAATCATACGCAGAAGGGGTAAGGCTGCAAGGGACCTTAGAGATCATTTCCTCTGGTCTTCCCATTTTACACAGGATGAAACTGAGACCCAGGGACCTGAAGCTACTTGCTTAAGATTACAAAGTTGGGTACTTTCCTTCAACATTTAGGGTTCAGAATTGTTACTCTCCTCACCCCAGTCTCCACCTCTGATCTCTTTCACTCTTTAGAAATTGGACAAATGACCATGGTATACTGTTGGTTAAGATAATCAAATCCAGACTACTTTGGAGATGGGGGCAACATTCCTCCTCCCACAGCAAACAACCAAACCCTCTCATAAGTGAAGTGCATTTCAAAAACTGTTTCCATCTCAAGTATTCTTTCTTACATGAGGCCTTTCCTGGTATAAGGGAAAATGTACTGCCAGTGGAATCAGGGGATCTGGATTCAAATCCAGCCTCTGAAGCTTACTAATTATATGACCTTAGGCAAATTTCTGGGCTTCAGTTTCTTCATCTGTAATGAAGACTAAAGATTAGAAAACTAAAATGACTCCTGAGGTCACTTTCAGCTCAAAGTACATGATCTCCAGGTGACTGAACACCTCCCCCCTCCTAGTTGCTTTGTCTTTACTTAGTATGTATTTTGTGTGTGTTTGTCTTTATACAACTTGTTTTCTGCCCCATTTTGTTCCTTAAAAGCAAAGCCTCTCTCCATTTTGTGCCTGTAACTGGTGCCAAAACCAGTTACAGACTAGGAAGTTAATAAAATGATTGCTGACTGGCTGATTGATAAATTGCTAGTTGACTTCCTATCGCAAACTAAGAAGAGAGAAAATTGTACTGGGCATGGCATAAGCTGGTTCTCATTCCAGCTGTGCCACTAACTATTTGTCTGACTTAGGGCAAGTCACTTCATCTTTTCACTCCTTAGTCTACTCATCTACAAAATGGACTGGATTGTATCTAAAGCTCCTTCTGACTCAGAAGACTGTTATCTTCCCTTTCTGGAAAATACGGTACAATGAGTAATTTCCAAAGCATCCAGGTCATTTGGGTCACTTTGGGTCAGTATAGGCAATGTTATTCTATTCAGAATATTTGTCAAGGATGTTTAAAATAGCAACAATACCACTGCTAAGAAATATCCTATGCCCAGGAAAGATGTTTATCAGAGGTATTTGTTGTTATTCGATTGTTTCAGTCATGTCCAACTTTTCATGATCCCATTTGGGTTTTCTTGACAAAGATACTGGAGTGGTTTGACAGTTCCTTCTCCAGCTCATTTTACACATGAGGAAACTGAAGCAAACAGGGAGAACTGACTTGCCCAGAGTCACGCAGCTAGTAAGCTAGATCAAATATGAAGTCAGGAAGATTAGTCTTCCTGATTTCAGGCCTAGCACTCTATCTAGAGCGCCACCTAGCTGCCCTTTGTTTCTGGGTAGAAATAATTAAAGAGAGGGAAAAGGAGGGTTAGAATTCCTGAACAACAAACTAATAACAACCAGTCAGTTTGGGTTCACTGAGAAAGCACCTCGTTAAGTGACATCATGGTGCAGCACAAGAAACAAGAACTAAGTCAGGTCAATTTTCTAGTCTTAGATCTTCCACCAATTAATTGTGTGACTTTGGGAAGCAGTTTAATCATGCCAAGCCTCCATTTCCTCACCTATAAAAGGAAGAGGTTGAACTAGATAACCTCCCTAAGATGTCTTAAAAGCTCTAATGTTCCATTCCATTTCAAACGTGCTTGTTCAAGAACAATGTAGAAAATGCCCAATAAAAGTATCCCCATAAAAACAGGGAAAATGAGAGTCCATAAAATATCTTTACAACCTCATTACACCCATGACCTCCTCTTCCAAGACCACAAATGCAGGGGACACTGCTTGCTTGTCAGAGACACAGTCCCAGTGTGGCTGAAGGGTTAGACGTTGTCAGGAAGACCTAAGTGTGAGTCCCGACTCTGATAACTTACTAGCTTGTGACCAATGGCAGACCACCTGAACCCTCTGTGTTTCCGTGTTCTCTCCTGAAAAATGGGAATAATAACTGGGTTCAAGTTCTTCCTCTGATACACATTGGCTGTATAAACCTAGGCAAGACATTAAACCTCTCATTGCCCCCAGGCAACTTTCTAAGACTTTGTTATAGAACTGCCCTCAATCTATTGTTGTTGAGTTGTTTCAGTTGTGCTTAACTCTCTGTGACCCCATTTGGGATTTTCTTGGCAAAGATACTGGAGTGGTTTACCATTTCCTTCTCCAGCTCATTTTATGGAGGAGGAAACTGAGGCAAACAGGGTGAAGTGACTTGCCCAGGGTCACACAGTTTGTAAGTGTCTGAGGTTAGATTTGAACTCAGATCTTTCTGACTCCAGGGCTGGTGTTCTATCCACTGTGTCACCTAGCTACAATCTGTATTATGGGAAAAGAGGTCTTCAATCAGCATTCTCTACACTAATGAAATTACAGGAATGGATTCCTCCCTCTTCCCTTGGCCCCTATGCTGCCTTATAGAATTGTTGTGAAGATCAAATGAGATAAAATATGTTAAGGTACTTTCTAATTTTAAAGGATAGGGATTGGACTGTGATTTCATTGGTATAGGGAACTCCTGAGTGAGGAGCCTCCCTCTACCAATGCAAGTTGGTGTTTTCTCCATTACTCATAGTCTTAGAGAGTTAGCAGAGCATTGAGAAATTAAGCGACTTGCCCAAAGTCACACAGCCATATGTGTCAGAAGCAGGATCTGAACCCAGGTCTTCCCAGATCAAAAAGCCAGCTTTTCATCCACTATACCACATCACCTGCCTTTCTAATTTCAAATGATCTTAAAAGGATTTTAGTTATTTGTTTAAAGGAAAACCACACTGTCAAAGTTTTACCCACACAAAGAACAGATCTGCCCACCATTCATTCACATTCCTAAGAGCCAAATGATAGCAAACATTAATTGTTTGCTCTTCAGCCTAAATAAACTCTTCAGACTAAATAAACAAGCAGCTAACACTGGCTTGGTGCCTCAGGTCACTGTGCTGACAGAAGCTGTTTCTCTGCCCTGTCCACATGCTCTTCCCTTTCCAGATTGCCTTCCATGCACTCTGTCTCTGTCTTCCATGTCCCCAGATATTTGTGCATATCTCCCCTGTTAGAATGTGAGAGCATGGGTAGTTTTTGTCTTTCTTTGTCTTTAGCCAAGATGACACTAAACCCTTAATAAATGGTTGCTGGTTTACTGATCAACATAGGTGCTCCTGATTGTCAGCAGGGTCCGGGCTCTTCCTGCTGGGAATAATAATATACACAATGAGGCTCTAGAGCCTGAGACAACAAGCCATCTCAATAGTCGAGGTTCCTTTTTTGCTGCCGACATGTTGCATCTGGCGTCCTGGTGGTGTTGTCTTCCTGTTTGGAAAACAGCTTGGTATAGTGGAAAGGGAATCCTAGCTCTACATACTTACAACTGGAGTGACCATAGGCAAGTCACTTAACCTCTTTGGGCTTTCCTTCCTGCTCTGTACAACGAGGGGGTTGGATTTGATGGTCCTTAGGGCCCCTTCTAGCTGCCAGTTGGTGCAGTGGATAGAGCATTGGGTCTGTAGTCAGGAAGACTTGAGATCAAATCTGGTCTCAGATACTTAGCCCCTGTGTGACCCTGTGGAAGTCACTTAACACCTGTTTGCCTCCATTTCCTCAACTATAAAATGGGGGATAATAATAGCACATAGCTCTCAGGGTTATTGTGAGGATCAAATAAGATAATATTTGTAAACGACTTAACACAATGCCTGACACATAGTAGGTACTATGTTATTGTTGTTGCTATTATTATTAATCTATATGATCATTAGCTCTGATGAGCCTTATTACCTGACTGTCACCCTTGCCCCAACCACTGGTATATGTGTTTTCCTAGTTCCTGCCCATCTGTCTTCTGCCATTTGCCTCTTTTGGTATTAGCAGTGAGTGTGGGGGCGGAAGCATAGTTCTGGGGTTACCCAGAGGAAATGAGCTCTGGAAGCTCCAATCCCCTACCCTCTGTGTAAGGAAAGAGACAGCATTTAGGGAAGGGTGATAACCAAATCTCACGGGTGCAAGGTTGTCAAAGACAGACATTCCTCTGTGAGATTTACAGTTCTGTCTGGGAGGAAATGATCAAGTGGTTCTGAGAGGCTTGCCATATCTCAGTGGCAATGTTCTGCTGTTCCTTCATGCTCCCCTCTCTGTTTGTTCTATGAGGTTCTGGTTTCTGACCTCTGAAGAGAGGCAGCTAGGAGTTCATGCATGTGTCAGAGGTCTTCATGAGGGGCCTTAATAGAGCCTTTTGCTCTTTCAAGATACACAGAAGTGTTCTGAGCAGTGATGTACCTTTGAGATTCAGGTTCAGCATAGAGCTCTTCTCTGAGTCTGATTCCCTACTCCTATGAACAGGGCCCCCAGCAGTAGGCATCACAAAATAGCACCTTTTCAGAGGACCCAGGTTCAAATCCTGCTGGGTGACCCTGGACCTTTCTAGGCCTCAGTTTTCTCATCTATAACATAAGGGGGTTGGATTTGATGACCTCTAAGTTTCCTTTTAGCTCTAAATTTCTGATTCTATGATACTGAGCTTTTTCTGAGCTTTACCATTCCTACAGGACCTGAATCTGGCTTGCCTATCAGTCTCTGACCTGTGGATTTACTTCTCCACTTTGGTTCACCTGGTTCCAAACACCTGACCCCTCTTTGACAACCAGTATCTGGGCCTAACCCTGGGTCCCAGCCCACTCCACTGTTTATCGAGTCTTCTCATCTTATAAACCACA